AATTCGCATTGTTATAATTAATTTAAAATGCCATGCTTATGTGGTCAAAAAGTTAACCGTGCTGGACAGAAAGTGCAATGTGCTAAATGCAAAGAGCTTTTTCATCTTTAATGTGTTGGTATACAGCAAAATTATCTCGATTTTTTGCTCTCATAAGGTAAATGCTTCTTCTGCAAAGCTTGTGGGCATCGAGGTTCTATTTGCCCATCTCCTCCTGCTCATACGGGGGATACGAACGCTCCCTCTAATGATAATATTGCGCAACTAAGGGGAGATAACGAAACTAAGAATTGTGAAAATAATGTTACAATAACTCTACAAGCCGTGCTTGATGAAATTGTTACTCTAAAAACTGAAAGCTCTAAAATGCTCACGCTTATAAACTCTGATCTCGGTGACAAAAAAAGTTTGCAACAAAAAGTAGACAATCTGCTACAACAACTAAATAAAGTTAATAGGTCACTTCTTCATGAAGGAAAAGGTCTGCAGAGTAATGTAGTGCAGCTTATTATTAATAATAAATCGGCTGCCGTATCAAATAAAATGTCTGTGCTAACTGTACCTGCTGCTCCTAAAAATAAAACAACAAATACAAACAATAACTTTTGTACGAACGCTGCTAAACCCAATGATAACATAAATGGCCTTCAATGTATTCAAAGACCTTCTAAGCATACCAATTGCATCTCTTCTTCTAATTTTGTTGCTGCTGCTGGTTGTAATGGTAACGTCGCTCGCTCTGTCTCTGAGAGTGCTTTAAGCTCCTCATATGCATCTGCTGCTGCAGCTGCTGCTGATGTTAATGCTTGCTCACTACCGCCTGCTGAGAACAGTGTTGATACACCACTGTATGGAAAGGAAAGCTCTTCTTCTATCATAGCTGCATTTTCTATCGCCAGAAGTGTTCATATGCCCCTGCCTGTTACCCAATCACGCGCGGTGAATGAATAAAATATGCTTTTAAGCTCTTCATATGTTCCTAATAACTCTGATTGGAATACTGTGGCTAGTAAAATTAAGTAGCGTAAAAATCCAATTGTTGTTGGCTCGAATGACACTAGCGAAATTAATGTAGTTATACGCAAGAAATGGTTACATTTATCTTCATTCATGAATACTGTTGTGGAAACTGACATCACTAAATATGTTGCTAAGCATGCTGGCTGTCGGCCGCTGTGGTGTAGTGGTAAGCAGTGCGCGCTTCCACTCCGCAGCACCTCGGTTCAAACCCTGGTCAAAGCAACATCGCTAAAAATATAGAAAAAAAGGTTTTTTCTTACAGCGGTCCTCCCTCGGCAGGCAATGGCAAACCTCCGATTGTATTTCTGCCATGAAAAACAGCTTCTCATAAAAATACAATCGCCGTTCGGAGTCGGCGTAAAACTGTAGGTCCCTCCGCTTTGTGTGACAACATCAAGGCGCACGCCACAGATCGGAGGAGAAGCTCGGCCAAACACTAACATTTGTGTAAGCGCCAATCTATTATTATTATTATTATGCTGGTATTGATGAAGATCAATTGCCGTGCCATGTGTTGATTAAAAAATCTGATAATGTAACCTCGCATAACAGAATCAATTTCAAATTGGGTGCCCCATCATCAGTTTATGGAATGATGCTTAATCCTGCACTATGGCCAATGGACGTTTGTGTCAGACCCTTTAAGTTTTTTCAAAAACTACAGACAAAGGCACCCAACCAATAAAACATTTGGCTATTATATAAAAACGTGTCTGGATTGTGTACTAAATCTGAATCTATTTTTATACAATCTTCGAAATTGGAATATGATGTTATCGTCATTGCGGAGACCTAGCTGAATGATCAGTTTTTCGATGAGGAATTTTTTGACTTGAAGCTTTTTCATGTCTTTCGAAAAGGTCGTGATGCCATTAAGACAGGCCGTAAAAGAGATGGCGGTGTGCTGATTGAATTCCCAAACAATGACTCGCTCCTCGATCAGCTCTGCGTACTAGCTCCTGGTGCTAAGGAGCACGTGGTTATCTGCGTATCTTACATTCCTGCAAATAGTTCGTTTGGCTTCTACAAGCTTCACATGGATAATATTAAAAACTTATCACTTATGTTCAGTAGTGAATATCATATGTGTATCTTAGGTGATTACAACTTATGCAGGTTAGATTGGAATTATGCTCGTGACGATGTTTTTTTTAACTCCAACTAATGCTTGTAATGAAATTGAATCGTATGTGCTAGATACGTTCTCATTCTTACACTTGATTCAAATAAACTGCTATGTTAATAATCTGAATAGGACTTTAGACCTAGTCTTTATTAGTAATAGTATTATTCTGGGTATCTCAAAATTAAAAATGTCTTTGAAATCAGATAATGACGGGGTTTCTGCTTATATTTTGAAAAAATGGTGTAACACCCTTGCGAGACACCTCCAATTAATGTTTAACAAATCATTGAAGTCCGGAATTTTTGTCGATGATTCAAAAGTTTCGTTCATTACTCCAATCCTTAAAGCAGGAAACAAAAGCAATGTTTGCACTTATCGTCCGATTCCTAAGATTACAACTATAAGTAAGCTTTTTGAATTAATTGTTAAAGATAAATTGTATTACAGTGTTTCCAGCTTAATTTCGCCCTTCCAGCATGGCTTTGTTGCTGGCCGTTCCACCATTACGAATTTGACTTTATTTTCTGAGTACTGTATTTCAGCCTTTCAAGAAAGTCACCAAGTTGACGTTTTCTACACGGAATTTCCAAAGGCGTTTGATAAAGTATCCCATGGCATCCTTATTAAAAAACTGTCCCAAATTGGCCTTCACTCCAGCTTATTGCTGTCTTATCTGGATAAAAGAATAAGCTTTGTCAGCGTTGAAGGTGTTCACTCTAGATCTTTTGTTGCTACCTCTGGTGTACCACAGGGTAGTGTTCTAGCACCATTGCTCTTTGTTTTGTTCATAAATGATATTGCAGACAATTTAACGAACTCCCGTTGCCTTTTATTTGCTGATGATCTTAAACTATTTCAAAAAGTTAAGAATTCGTGTGATGCTAAGAAACTCCGATGATATTGACTCAGTAAATGATTGGTGCTTAAGAAACCATTTGTTACTAAACGTTAGTAAGTGTGCTGTAGCAACTTTTTCTAAGTCAAACTCCACAATACCTGCATCCTACCTTCTCTCCAATTTGCGTCTTAGCGTGGTAAAGAAAGTAAAAGACCTAGGTGTAGTATTTGATTCTAAATTTTCGTTTGTACCTCATCTGAATTATTTATTACCCAAGGCATATTCATTATTAGCTTTTATTCGCCGAAATAACACTAATTTTACGGATCCTTATACTCTAAAATCTTTGTATATTAGTTGGAATCCAATATACTCGGTTCACTCGCATCGCCTTGAACGTGTCCAGAAGTGATTTATGCGTTTTGCTTTGCGTTCCTTAAATTTCAAAGATCCATTGCCTACGTATGATGCTCGATGTAAATTTATAGATCTTAAATCTCTTGAGAACAGAAGAAGGATTCTATCATTAACGCTCATTACAGACATTTTAGTGGGAAGTATTGATTGTCCGCAGCTGTTGAGTTTAATTAACCTCAACGTATCATCTAGAATTCTCCGTTATTCTCTCGGTCTAATTATGCTTTAAATTCTCCAATTAATAGAGCTTTAAGGGAGTTTAATAGACTCTATTCTAAGTATGAAATTGACTTTGCGCTTGGAAAAAAATTCTGTTAAGAATGTTGTAACCCAAGCTTTTTAAAATTTAGCATATACATAATGCGTATGTATAATTTTTGCACATTATATATTTAACAATGTTTATTTGAAGCAAAGTAATAGATATTATAAGATATTAATTTAATGTGGAAAGTTCATAAGTGCTAAGTATTTTAGTACTGTAAAGTATATCAAATTAGAAAAACACCCCGGCGACCTATCACGACGGCGAACAACTGCTGAGCTCGAATACTTCTTCTTCGACAACGGCTTTGAGACTGACTCCCACGAACTACCGCTTAAGACCTACCAGAGTACAAAAGTTGGTAGCTGATGACAGGTGACCGCTATATCGTTACTAGTACCTGCTTACACCCGGCCATCCTGATCGTCATCTGCCTCAGATGATAAATCTTCGTTGTCTTCTACATATTTCCACAACTTCATGTTGTCGCAAGACGTACTTGTGTTTATTGGCCCCTCACCAGTCGTTACTTTTTGGACGTCGTAGCGGCCATTTCGCTTGACCCTTGTTATTTTATAGGGGCCCAAGTATTCGGTAGCTAATTTTTTCCCTGCGATGAATTGCGTTCTTTTGATCGCTACTAGATCTCCTAGCTGGTACTGAAGTTCTGCATTACGTTTTTTGTCGTAGTTTGCTTTGTACGTTTGCTGTGCTTTGCTTATTTGCAGCTTCGCCTCCTCGCGCATTTGTTGCCTTTCTTCATCGAACGCTACCACCATCTCTTCGCGCAATAGCTCTAGTAAATTGTTGTTCTTGTCGCTCTTCATCTTTACTCCGATCAATAGTTCAAATGGTGAGAACTTTGTTGAGCTATGAACACAGGAATTGATAGCTTTTTGCACATTCGCCACATGCTTATACCATTTTGCTGAGTTATCGGCCGACAGCTTCGCGATAATTTGAAGGACGCAACGATTAACGCGTTCGACCTGCCCGTTGCTCCGCGCGACTCCCGTTGTTGTTTGCACATGCTCTATATTCTTGTCCTGGCAGTAGCATGCAAAATCCTGTGACGTAAACGCGGTTCCCTTGTCGCTTATAATTCGGCATGGGTCACCGAATATATTTGACCATTCGCTTAGCTTTGGTAGGACTTCACCCCTGTCGATTTGGTAGTATACAGCCATACAAATTTCGAGAATCCATCAACAATTGCGAATATGTATTTGTATTGCTTTGACGTGGCGTCCATCGGGCCCAGGTGATCGATGTGAATTGTAGTTAACGGGCGACTTCCTTTGTCGATAGAATGTAAATAACCCTCTTTCTTTCCCAGCTTTCTGTTGTGTATAATACAGCTAACGCAGTTGCTTATAATCTTCATAACTTTTTTCTCAAGATGGGGTATAAAATACGTTTGTTGGATTATGTGCATAGTTTTTTGCACCGCGAAGTGACCTGATTCGTGAGCTTTTCGTATTATTTCTGCTTCCATAACTTTAGGAACTACTAACAGGTCGTTTCCGTCAACAGTTTTGTACAATAGAGCGCCTTTCATCTTGTACGCTTCGTACGGAGTGCTGCTCAAAATTTTGCAAACTGCTTTTACATGTTCGTCTTGTTGTTGCGATTTGTGTAACCTTGCTGTAAGTTCGGTTGCCACTGTCATTACGCTTGCTCCTGGATATCGACTTAATGTATCTACGTGCTTCATCCTACTTCTTTATCGGCGTTGAACTTCATACGTGTAGTCTTGAAAATGTAATATCCAGTGTGCCACTTCCCGTGGAACCTCTTTCTTAGCCATTGTTTGTTTGAATGCCACGCAATCTGTGACTAGTTTAAATTTGACACCTAGCAAATAATGGCGAAATTTCTTTACCGCTAGATAAGCCGCTTTTACCTCTAAAACGAAACTATGCTGTTTGGACTCTGCTATTGTTGTCTTCTTACTCCAAAAAAATACAGGGTGTCGTTCACCGTTGATGACTTGTAGTAGAGTCGCACCGAACCCGTCCTTTGATGCGTCTGTGTGCAATTTCTGTCATAAATTTTTAGGACAGGGCCACGTGTAAGTTCTTTTTTAAGTAAATTAATTTCATTTATCTCCGCTTCTTGTATTTTAAAGACTGTATCCTTTTTCAATAAGTTCGTTAAAGGACGTGCGAGGCTAGCGTAGTTCCTTATAAATTTTCGAAAGTACCCTATGAGTCCCAAAAATGCTTGTACGCCTCTTACGTTGGAAGGTATTGGGAACTTCTCAACTGCTCTAGTTTTTTCCTCGCCTGACCAAATTTTCCCGCCCTCTATGGTGTGTCCCAAAAAATGGATTCTCTGTTTGAGAAAAGTGCATTTTTCCATTTGATTTTCAAACCATAGTTCGCTGCTGTCGATAAGACTTTCCCCAGTTTAGATAACCATTCATCCGGTGTAGGCCCAAAAACGATTAAGTCGTCCATATAAAGCTCCATGATGTTTGCATTGATTAAGTCTTGAAATATAAAATTTACGTACCTTATAAACACAGCCGGCGAGTTGCAGAAACCGAATGGTGCACGGTTGAATTCGTACATGCCTTCTTTTGTAACAAACGCCGTATAACGCTTACTGCCCTCCTCAATGGGCACATGAAAAAACCCATTCTCTAAATCCATAACGCAAAAATAAACTGAATTTTGTAACTTTTCCAACACATCTTCTATAAGCGGGACTGGAAAGGCGTCTTTCAGAACCATTGTGTTCAACTTTTGAAAATCAATGCACACTCTATATGTACTGTCCTTTTTCTTCGTTAGCACCACTCTGCTTGCATAATCTGATGATGATGGTCGCACTATTCTCTGCTGCAACCATTCTTCAACCTGCTTTCTGACAACTTCTTGTTGATGCGGAGGCAACCGGCTGGGCGAGTGACGAAAAGGCGTTATATTTTCAGATACTTTTTTCATCGTGATTGGACATTCGAAGATCTTGTCTGCTGGCTTGTATGACACCATTCAGCACAATCGATTTAAGCCTACTTTTATCAAGTACAACGTTTACGCTGTTTTGCGTCTGCGATTTTGACGTGCAGTTTTTTTGATATGTGTCCACTTTTGTTACAGCGAAAACACTTCGGCTCGTCTTTGCAATCGGCTCTTTTGTGATCCACAGACCCACAATTAAAACAATGTTCCTTCCTAATATTTGATTTATATTCTCTTTCTTGTTTAGTTCTTTCGCTAATTTTGTTATTTTTCCGCACTGTTTCTACAATTTGCATTCTTTCTACAATTTCGTACTGTACTTTGAGTTCTGAAAAGCTTTTTGCACTGTATAAAGCATACCTGTCCTCGTTTTGGATTTTCAGCCCATCCACTATATACCGGATTACCGACGCGTCTTCGATGTTTCCACAACATGCTATCTTTTTCATGTTTAAAATGTACTCATGAAAATTTTCACAGTCTTTCTTTTTACGATTAGATAGTTTTTTGTGTAAGTCATCACTACTAAGTTCTTTGTGGAATTCGCGAATCAGCAGCTCTTTTAGT